AAGAAAAACAGCCTATCTGCACTTGAGTGTGATGACTAGTATCAGAATTGATGTCTATAGACTATCCTAGATGAGACAAATCTAAGAAACATAATCCAGTGTTATCATGACTAGACTGTAGTAGACCACAGTGGACAAACTGGATTTGTTAGGGCTAGATTGGACTAGACGTTATTAGAGTAACTAATCTTAACACACATACAAGATACACATATTTTTAGATACTGTGTGTCTTACACTTCAGAGGGATATCTCTGCTAAGAAATTATCAATAAAGACTCTAATAATAGAATAATATAAGCCGGAATGTAAATGACAACATACATGACTCATATTGTAGCCTACAGCTAAATAACTGACTCAATGGCCACATTGTATTTCCTGTTTATATACAGAATAAACAAAACACATCAGTAAATTTGTATAGATTTTGTCACATTTGGACAGTCAGGCCAGCCGTCTCTATGCGAAGCTAAGCTAACTGTCTTGTGGCTCGAGCTATATATTGAACAGACAATTTCCCCAAATGTCATCCTGTTCCATTAATGGAACTCAAGCAGTGTATTTACAGTTGTTTTGGGAGTAACGAGTCAAACAACAGACTGTATCAACTGATCTCTCCTCTGCTTTATTTGGCCTTCAGCCACCCTCCATGCAGAGGATGTGCAGCTCTGAGGTGCAAGGACGTGCACGTCCAAACTACCTATACTCTCCCTGTGTAGAAGGGAAACGAGATGGAGGGTGTGCACAGTGTGTGTGTGTTTGTGAGTGTCTGGAGGCAGATAAACAAGCTTCAAGGTGCTTTACATTGTTGTGGGGAGCCAGTTGCAGGCAAGGGAACACCATAAGCCCCAAATGGACAAAACAGACCAAAGTTTTAAAGGCCTGCAATTTTATTCCCCCCCCCACACACAGATGCACACACTAAAACACAGACACAGGTTTCCTAAACAGTATATAAACAGACAAAGATGCACAAGCACAGAGACACAGACTGTAATTAGCCCTAGTTTGACCATATACAATATTTGTAGCCCTTTCTTTCCTTTAAACAACACATTTTGTCAAAGATGACTCACACATGTGCGAACACACACACTGACCCTGTGTCTCGTGAAAGAGAAGAATAGATTTTTTACTCGCTTCAGTTTCACCCCTAGAGACAGATTTAAAAAGACTTAACTTTGGTCATGGGCTGTGGAGGAGGAGGAGGAGGAGGACCACTATGAGGAGGGGAAGGGAAAGAGGCTGCTGGTGTGTGTTCCCTTCATCGGGTAGAGATGTAGGAGAGGTTAACTGGCGAAAGTTGAGAGGTTCAGGTAGAGGTCCTGCTCCTGTGATCCTCTGGGGAAGGAACTGGGGAAGTTGTGTGTGTTTGTATAGATCTGAAAAAGGCAGGAGACCAGTAAATCACCCAGGAGAGACAGAAGAGATACTGCCTTGAACGAAGAGGATGGTGTGAAGGAGCATGATGAAAGAGAAAAGCGAGAGCAGGGAGTAAGAGAGTAAAATAGAGAAAGGAAAAGAGTTATGACAGGGGAAAAGAGAGGACAGGAGGAGGTAGTAAGGGGAAGCGAGGGGTTAAGGGCAAGAAAGAGAGAGGTAGCAGGGGAATGGTAAGAGTTCAGGGGAATGAGATTTCAATCTGCTGGAGAAAGAAAAGGAAGAAATAGATATAGAGAAAGAAAAAAAAGGAACATTAAAGGGATCCAGTTTATATACAGAAAGGAAGGAAAGGGTAGATAAGAGAATTAAGGTAGGACAACTGAAAGAAAGAAACAGGTGTTAAAGTAAGAAAATTTGATTTTAGAGGGAGATTGTAAAAAAGGAAAAAGCAAAAAAGAGAATGACAAAAGTGAAAGAAGGTAGGGAGAAAGAAAAGAAGAAAGAGTGAGCTGTCGGGCCCCTGATGAGAAAGCCATACAGTTGAACGAACACATTCCCCCGTGCAGGAGTGAGGAGGATGGAAGGAGGGAGGAGAGAGGAGAAGAGGCTCCCCGAGAATACCTCTGTGTGACTAATGTCTTTTTCACACATTTCACCTTCACACATCCATCATTGTGTCCACCTCCTCCTCTCCTGTTAAAACAACAGCCCGTCGTGACAGCAAACACTAGAAGACTACTGTAACTGTTCTCCTTTTTTACAGTCCGCTTCATGTATACACCACTCGACTTCACCTTATTCATCCCCTACCTCTGCAGTTGCACATTGGAGGAATAAATCAAGTTGTTTTGTTTTGTTTTGGTGACAGTTGACAGCTGGTCTTTGCTTGCCAATGATGTGAAGTCTTGGTTGCAAAGCCATGGTGGTTACTGCTCACGCTAACTACCTTGTTCTTCTGAAGAAATGCAAAAAAAATAAATACTAATAGGTAAATGCCATCTGTGTGCTGCAGAGGATTTTTAATGGGAAAGGAAATCTTTCACTTGTACTTAAAACGGCAAATGTTAAAGAATAATTTAATCCAAACTAAGTGTTTTAAATCATCCTGCCGAACTGTGTCTTTTTTTTTTACAATTTAACCCATCATCTGACCACTTGCATCCTGTCCGGTCTGATGTCTTTGTAGTTTTCGATCTGTGTTTCCAGAACTTAACGATTACTTTGTAAAATGTTATAACCAATAGAAAGATCGCCAATACTACTGTATGAAAAGAGGTGGTCCCAAGTTTTAACAAGCTGTATTTATCCTTATGCACAAACTGCCAAAAGCTGACGAAAAACAACAAAATACCAGAAGTCTACAGCTGTTTATTAAACCCTTCAGTCACAAGGGCAAATTGAAGGTCTCCATACACAATATCAGTCTGTGTTCATTCTCTGTGATAAGAAAGTAACAGACAAAAGGGGCAATAAATGAAACATATGTGTTTACATATGATTCTACTCTTTATCGGACCATACATATTCTTCTAGATAAGCCTCTATCAGGCACATTGTTAAAATCAAGCCACCTTTTGTCCTTTAAATCTTTCTTAAACTACAGGTCATGACCTGAAGCTGGTTGTTTTCTGATGGTTTTCCATACAGTTGCCTTTTGTAGTCTGTTAGGACCCTTTGTTTGCTACATGGTGGCCTATTATGTGTTTTAGTACTATATTAGGAGGGTATTGTTTTAACCCAGAAGGAGTAGAATGAGAAGCCAAACAGAGATGTACAGTATGCAGTAAACCTTGCTAACTCCTACACTGCTTCCATCCCTCTATCTTCCTGTTTGTCTTTCTTTGTACTACTCCTGTTCGGCCATATTTCATTCCCTTTCTCTTCTCACAGCTACTCCCTTAAATTCCATCCTCCCTCATTCCCTTCATTTCCTTCCTTCCTTCTCCTTCCTCTCTTTCTCCTCCTCACCCCTAAATTTGTTTTCTCCATCACCCCCTACGCTATTGCTCTAATTTCCTCCCGTCGTTCCCAGTCAGTCAGCATGTTACTTCACCCCCTCTGTTTTTCTAGTGTGCAGTTTCACAGTAGACCGGCTACTGAGCGGTCAAGGTCACGCCTGATTTTATGTCTCGACACGACATCTCAGTTGATATTAGCTTGGCTTTGTGTTTGCTCCCTGGGGATTCTATTGTTGCCGGTATTCAAATGTCAGTGTTTCAGCTAAGCCATGGCAGACTTCTTAAAGGTTAAAGGATCACTCCTGTGTGTTAAAAGCCATATTTGGAGGCTTCTTTGGTTCTGAGAATAGTGGTGAAAATGGGAGGTGTGTTGTTGCACACAAGGAAATGTGGGCATGTCAGGAGAGCAGGCATTACAAGAGGTCATCCTAACCTTGATGTCGACACACCTACCGCTCTCAAAATGCCTCCATCCCTCAACACAACTACTGCTACACAACTACACAACTACTACTCATACTTTGTGAAACCACACATTGTCAATGATAAGTATGAACATTGAACATCTTGAATATAACTTGAGCGCTTAAATGAGCAGTTGATTAATCAATTAGTCGACAGAAAAATAGTCATCAACTTATCGATTAATCATTGCAATTCATGCCAAAATAGTGAAAAATGCCGGCACCCAGGTAACTCACCTGAACTCCCTGTACTCAGGGCCGATTCAGACCAAACAAGGCTCTGTGCTAAAAACACACAAATCAAATCTGGTGTTGGGTGTGGAGTTTATTTTTCAGAGTGTGGCTAAAGGCTGAGTCTTACCACAGCAGCCAGGGTTTGAATGCAGCCTGTGGCCTTTTAGTGCATGTCATCCGTCTCTCTCTCTCTCTCTCTCTCTCTCTCTCCCCCCGCTTTGCTGTCTATCCTCATCCATCACCCCCCCAAATGGAGCATTTGCTACTTTTCTTTGTCATAATTTGTTGTAAAACAAAGAGTGTAAAGATATTTAATGAGCTCACTTTGGGACCCTGGGAAGTTTTGATGAGCACTTTTCACTTTAACTATATTTAAAAATATATTTCATAGATTAAAACTATTAATCTAAAAAACAATTGGCAGGATAATCGATAATAAAAATAATCATCAGTCGCAGTCCTTTATAACCTGAACCCAATTGCAGGGAGGTATCTGGCAGTGGATGTGAAGGTGAACAAAGTTTTTTGATGCCTCCATGGATCATAGTCCTTGCAAGGAAAATATTGTATCTCTGGCAGAATGGGTCAGAATCACCTATTAAGGGAAAGATTGGTTTGTGCAATCAAACATTGCGGACACTAATTAGGCTACAGTCGCTACCACTCAGTGATTCCCTTCTTCCCTTCCCTTCTACCCAATTCAAACTGGATTTTGCTGCAGCTGGAAACTTGAGCTGTAAGCAAAAGTGAAAGATTTCATTAGTAGGTTCCTATACGCTCAAATAACCTGGCTGTGTACACTCTCTGCAGTATTCTGATATCTTAAACTTTGTGTAACTAGCCTAAAGAGGGAGTAGAGTCGTAAAGGGTGAAAATATATATATATATTTATCTGAAAATATCATAGTGTTTCATTCATAATCTCACTGACTCTCCTTCTCCCTCTCCCACCCTTAAGGTCCACCCAGGGTGTCAGAGCGGGTGGCCCATCGGCAGAGCATCCGCCTGGGTCGCACCATGAAGCTTCCCTGCCCCGTCGAGGGTGACCCCCCGCCGCTGAACATGTGGACCAAAGATGGCCGAAACATCCACAGTGGCTGGACACGGTTCAGGGTGTTACAGCACGCTCTGCGTATTAAAGAGGTGGAGACTGACGATGCAGGGACTTACATCTGTAAAGCTACCAACGGGTTTGGCAGCGTGAACATCAACTACACTCTCATCGTTATAGGTAAGTGGTTTTTTATCAACTGTGGCATGAGACACTGATACAGTCCTTTGCATTACATTGACAAAACATGAATACATTGCACCATTGCAACATTTTTCAAACAAACTTGGCATAAATCTACCAGTGTCATCGCTTACACAGATGACTACATAAGACTTTTGTTGAAAAGTATTTTACTTTTTGTGTTTATGTGTGTGTTTGTATGATGACAAACAAATACAAACCCACCATCCATGACTAAAGCCAAAGATTTTAGCTTTCTTATTTCTCTAATCCTCCCTTACTTTTTCCCATTAATTTAAGTTTGCATTTGGTCTATTTCTCTCCTTCATTACACTTCATGATCACACATGATGATTTTTACCTTACCTTTCATTTCAGTACTTCTATTGACTGCTGTGTAAGTTTCGAGGATATAATTAACCGGGTTAGGTTGGTGGGGCCTTACACAGAAATCAAGCCTGTACAGTTTTTCAATGAAGCGATGCTTTTGTCTCAGTGCTTCTGCTTGTGCGTGTGTAGGTGTGTGTGTGTGTGTGTGTGTGTGTGTGTGTGTGTGTGTGTGTGTGTGTGTGTGTGAGTGTGTGTTTGTGTGTATGATTATGAATGAGTCTGTTGAGGAAGATGCTTTTGTTTTTCCCCCGGTTGTGTTTGTGTGAAAGGCATTGCGTCAATGTGGTCTGGAATGTCACATCTGTGTGTGTGTGTGTGTGTGCGTGTGTGTGTGTGTGTGTGTGTGTGTGTGTGTGTGTGTGTCAGTTTTGATGTCTCTATAAAAGACTCATTGTTGTGCCTTGTTCTTTTTTTTACTTTACATAATAACTTTCCATTCAGAAAGCAGAGTCGGTTGTCACTTTGTCTGGGTGTGTATATTTTGTTTGTCTCATCATGTGGTGGCTGTTGTCGATGACACTGTGGACTCTGACGACCTTGCTGCTCAAATACAGATGTGTTTCTTTCTATACTCAGACTGAAATGTTCACTTCCCTCAACTCCTATCCATGTAAACAAAATATCTGGAGGGAAGACAGTGTGTCAGTGCACATTTACACACGCAAGTCCGTGTGTGTCCCCCCCCCCCGTGTGTGTGTGCATTATCCATCTGTTTGTCTACATGCCATTCTGTATGCGTGTGTGTGTGTGTGTGTGTGTGTGTGTCAGGTTCCAGCGATCCAGCGAATCTGACTAAAGCATCTCTCTCTGCCCAACATCAGCACTTCAAAGACGGGCTGGAGTAAAATGCTCTGATACAGATATTACCAGCCAATAACAAGATTGTACATGATGGATGTTTATAGTGTATTAATGAATGAATTTGAATTCAATATTGTGCCTCGGCCAATAGTCCGACAAAAGTGGGAATCTTACAAGTACTGTAGAAAGGAAACTGAATGACATCATGGGTTACCGATAAAGTTGTGCATTGTGCTCTCTGTTTATAAAACTGAAGAATTTTTATTTTAAATCTTGTTTTTGTGACATGAGACAATTTACAACCCTCAAGAGTAATAAAAGGGTTGCTTTTCTTCTCATAGATGCAGCTTTATCTAGAATATCAATAGATATTATTGTCACGTTAACTTTTCATTAATAAAACAGCAGATTTGACCACTGTTTATTCCATAAATCACATTTTCTGTTGTCAAGTTTGCATTTAATTTTTGAGTAGCAATACATTTGTATTCTAGGATTAAAAAAAAAAGTCTCCAGTAATGATTATCGGTATGTGATCCAAAGATGTATCGGTCTTGACCTAACTTCAAAGGCGAGCTGGCATACAGAGGGCAGCAGAGCGGGGTGGGGTGAGTGGGGGGCAGCAGCTGCCGCTGAGGTCATCCAGGCAGACAGCTGCTGCCTTGCTCTTTCTCTCTCCTTCTCTCCCTCCCTCATTCACTGTCCCTTTCACATAGTCACACACACACACACATTTGTCATTTAAGTTAGTCCCATTGAGCACCGAGAGTCACTACTTTGAATGAAAACATGTGACTTCTTCTTTGACAAAAGGCTATTACTATTTGTATCGATTTAAATGCAAATTTAAAATAGAGATGTACCATAATTGTTGGGGTTGATAAATTATCATTAGATAATGGGAAATGTATAGTATTTTGTTCTATTGTTCAGATAATAAAATCATAGTCAATAAATAAGTCAGTAATAATACTAATTTATTTTGATATCATATTCAAAACATTTGATAGGTTTTATGTTCTTCAAAAGCCAAATTATGTTTCTGAAGTTTTTTGATGTACTGTTCTAGAAAAAGTTAATGAGCATTTGAAGAGTCAGAACTGTTATTTTTTGTTGTTGTTAACAACAGTTAACAATCAGAACTATAGAATATTAAATCATCCATCTTTGCTCGCTACATCTTAGCCTTTCTTAGCAGGTAGGAATAAACTGCAAGTTATGAACTGAATAAAAAATACAAAAATGTGAATTTATCCGTCATCGTATCGGTATTAGCCATTGTTGTCATCTGCTGATTCCAAGATCAAAAGTGAACTTGAAAATCATCACTCATTGGTTCACTTGAAATATTAGAAAACCAGAGCTTTGATGTTGATATGGACTGACACAAATTCTACACACATTTCACAGACAAAGTAACCCAACTTTTATCACAATATCATCATATCCCAAGTAAACTGGGATCAAGTCACCAAAAAAAAAGTTCACATGCTCTACAAGCTTTAGAGGCTACATAACTACATTTGTAGATTATGCAAATGGTACCCACCAGTGTGCTCCACCAGGTTAACCTTCAGAGATGATCCCTCCCTGTAATTCAAGCCAGGAATCATGCCACAGCATCTCCTCAGAGAGGCAGTTAGCGTGGAAAACTTTGTTTTCATAGCTGGAACAATCTGCATAGGCAATGATGTTCAAAGCATGAGAGAAATAAATGGATGCATGGATGCAGCTGTCTTCTGCCTAAGTGGTGGCCTGTGTTCATCAGCTTAAAACTAGATGATAATTAGGAGTTTTTTATACTTTAGCTTTGTTTTTTGTTTCTCAGTTAAGTGTTTTTCTCTCAGCTGTTTTGCTTTGCCTCCTCGCTTCCTCTCATCTCTCCTCCTTCTCTCTGCTTTCATCTCCTCTTCTGTGTGGTCCTGTGGTAATTCTTCTATGACTGCGCTCCGTTTCACAGTAATGAGCCCACACCTGCATCTTATTGTTATTCCCTTGCAATTTCTAGTATCTTTAACACCTTTTTCCCATTAGCACTCAATCTCGGCCCTCATTCCTCCTTCCTCAGTTGGCCGACTCATTTTTCCCCGACCACGTCTTAATTTGTGTCAATATTTTCACAGTTTCCCATTTTTCCCGGACATAATACAGCATGTGGCTGGAAGTGATGGAGAGGCGTTTTGTGAAGGCAGGCTTTTGTTGGCGGGGTAAATTAGAAGATTCCTTGGAGTGTTTGTTCTTTTATTGTGTGTAGGTTGGCAAATGTTTGCGTGAGTAAATAGTGTGTGTGTGTGTGTGTGTGTGTGTGTGTGTGTGTGTGTGTGTGTGTGTGTGTGTGTGTGTGTGTGTGTGTATTTGTGCTTGTTTATCTGAGGGGTTGTGCACGTGTGTATGTATGCGTTGGTGTGCACAGATTTATGGGACCACCAGTAAAGTGTAACTGAGAAAGATATTTTTTCTGCTCAGCAAACCTCAATGTCCTTCAAAAACCTAATGTTAGGAGGGCTCTGATTTCTTCCTCCCACTCTCTTTCTTGATGCTTTTTGCTGTCTTTGTATGAAATTCTGTAATTGTTTGCCTCCTCCCAGAAGAGTGAATGATAGAAGATTTATAGTTCAAACCAGATGTGATGACAATGGGAGCGTGTCTGGAGCAGAGTTGGGAAGCCGTGCGTAAGAAGGAAGGAAGGAAGCGGTTTGGAGTCGTGTGTGTGGGTGTGTTACTGTGTGTTTTTAGTGCCCATGAATGTGAAAATGCAGTTTTATAATCATCAACACCCTTTTTGTCTAAGAGTGTGTTTGCATGTGCATGCAGGTCCATTCATAAGTAAATGGTTTAGTGATTTGTGGTGATTTTTACAGCTCAGACATAGCAGCTGACATCTGGTCGTAATTGGCGAACAAAGAGGAAAGAGAGGCAGAGAAAGATATAAAACATAGACGTGTTTAAACGTGTTTAAATAAATGAGCTTGTACGTGATTTATGTTCATCAAGCAGCAGATACATAATGAAAGTTGAAATAAGTAAAATGGAGACGCAAGATGAAACGTGACAAATGGGTAATAAACACAACGGGACTTGAAAGAGTGTTGTTTTAGAAAAATGATTCAGTTCTACATTTTCCCAAATGAAGCTCTGCGGTTTGCTGTCAGAATTAGCCCTCTACCGCTGCTAAACTAAACTAAAATCTATTATGACTTAATACAGACTGACATACTGAGGTCTCACAGCTCAGTCTATATGACAATTGAATGTGATGTTGATTGTAGACAAATTCAAATAGTAACTCCAGTCTTAATTTTATTTCACAACGAGGATCCAGTTCTTTGAAAGCCAACCACGTTCCTTCATTCAGGTTTATTCCGTCTCCATTTAACTGTATTGCGTGTGTGAGACTGCAGCTGTCTTCTGGCCAAAAACTTACACATCAGATTAGGTTGCAGACCAACATCATCTCTCTGTCCCTCAGTTCCTCCATCCTGATGCCTCCTCTGTTTTTGTGTTCTCAAATTACGTCCTTTTTTAATTGAGATATGTAGTGCCTCATCTGGAGAGGATGTAGAGGTGGCCAAGGTTTGCAGCCTAATTGGTATGACTCACTCACTCACTCACACACACCCCCACACACACACACACACACACACACACACACACACACACACACCACACAAGGAAAAGAGTGTGTGTGATTGCACAGTGCCTAAAAACAATCTCAAATAACCCGGTCTCTTTCACGCACACACCCTCATCCACCTACTTGCAAACACACCAGGGCAGCTGTGTGTGTGTGTGTGTGTGTGTTTCTG